AAATGGATTATGCATGTGCAGAAGAATGACTCTAAACCCTATCTCTCCCTCTGTACTAAAGTCAAATCAAAATAGATCAAAGATCGAGATGTAAAAACAGAAACACCGAGTCTGCCGGAAGATACAATAGATAAAACCGAAGACAGGTAGAAGTAAGGACTTCTGAACAGAACCTCAACCGCACAAGAAATAGTACCAAGAATCAACAAATGGGATTATATCAAATAAAAAGTCTTCTGCACAGCAATGGAAACAACCGGCCAAGTGAAGAGACAGCCTCCAGAATGGGAAAAAAAACTGCTAGCTACTCCTTGGACTAATATCTAGAATATATAAAGAATTTTTAAAACTATACCCCACCTAAAAGACACCATTCAAAAATGGGCAACTAAAAAATGAATAAATAAAATAAAACTGAGGGAAAAAAATGGGAAACTAAAATGAGTAGACACTTCTCCTAAAATGAAGTACAAATGGCCCATAAGTGCATAAGAAATGTTCAGCATCTCTGCCTGTTAGAGTGACACAAATCTAAACAATATTATAGTGATGCTGTACTCATGTCTATAGCAGTACAATTCACAATCTCTAATTGTGTGTGTGTGTGTGTGTGTGTGTGTGTGTGAGAGATAGGGTCACACTATATATAGTTCAGCCTGGTCTTGAACGCACTATGTGGCCTAGGCTGGCCTCCAACTCACAGCAATCCTCCTGCCTCAGCCTCCTGAAGGCTGGGATTACAGGCCTGTACCACCACACCTGGCACTACAATCTCTAACTTAAGAGAAATAGCCTAAAATGCCCAGCAACAGATAAATAGATAAGGAGAATGTGGTATGTATGTTACAGCTGAATGGGCCAATAATAGTCCAGGTTCTTGTGTATGGTGAGGAAAGAATTGCCAAGCATATGTCCAGTAGTCTGTAGTTGTAGTTATGTTTATTGAAGATGATGGGAAAGGCAGCAGCAGCAACAGGGAAAACAGAAAAGAGAAAAGAAGCCAGTAGCTCACTCAGGCTTTCAGAATTTAAGGCTAGACAGCTCTGGCTTTAGGTGAGGTGCCAGTGCTCTGCCACCTAGGGCATGGAATCTCTTAGGCTTTTGTTATTTCATTTTGTCCCTCTCTGAGAATAATGGAAGCAGGAATAACTGTTAGATGCTGTTTCGAGTTAGATGGGGGAAGGGAGTGACTCATTCAGCTCCTTTGTTTCTAACTGTAATAAATAAATAAGCACACACAATGGAGTATTATGGAGCCATAAAGCATAAATTTAAGGCATTTATAGGAAAATGGATGGATCCTGAGACAATAACGTTAGGCAAAACAGATCAGACACAGGTGAAATATTGCACAGCTTCTCTTATACGAGAAACCCAAAATAAAAATAATTTAAAGAGAAAAATAAAAGAGAGATGGTAGGAAGCAGGGAGTTTGGGAAGCGATCTAGGGATAGGGGAACAGACAGAATGAGGAGGAAGGGCATTAAAATGATAAAAATATGAAGTATATGTAATTACTATGCATTACAATCATACACTAATAAACAAGAAAAAAGAAGGAAATACTGTCATTTGCAGGAAAATGGATAGAACTTGAGAGAATCAGACAAGAAAGTCAGTCAAGTTAATTCGGACACAGAAAGTTAAATATCTCATGGTTTTCTTTAAATGCGAAACCTAGACTATAAGTAAATGAGTAAAACAGAGGAGAGATGATAGGAAACAAAATGACAGTCTCTTGGACATGGGAAAGGAGTTCGGGGAAGGGAGGAGATAAGGGAGGGCAGGTAAAGGGATTGGAAATGATTGAGACATCATATTGGTATAGACAGATTTTCTGTACTGCAAACATACACTAATCATATACATAATGTGAGGTGAAATAAATCAGACACAGGTTAAGTACTGCATGGTTTCTCTTCTATGAGAAACCCAAAATAAAAATAAAAGGGAGCTATTCACCCATGTACTTAAACAACAGTAAAACAAACCATTTTCATCTGCATCTCTATTGGCTCAGAAGACTCATTTCCAAAATAAAAATACAAGTTTCAGTTCCTTCATGACACTCATGGAGTCATCAGCAAATAAAATCTATATTTTAGTGGTTTTGTTCAGCTGTTCTTTCCAGTCATATTTCACTGTCTGTGAGAAGTTTCCAGGGGGCCCTGACACTTAGGCCTTGGCTGTTCTTCCCAAATCTGACCGATCTGACAGGCCTGCACTGCCTCCCACTCTGCCGTCCAGAACTCTCCCTTAGGGACACTGAGCAGCTCATGTGGGAAGCATTCTGAGACTGTTAGTTCGCTAGGTTGAAGAGACCAAACTCCTGGGTAACTCCCTCCTCACTTGGCCATCAGTGCCAAAGGTCCGCCCCCTGCCCCTCCCTGAAGAGAGGTTGATAACAGTGTGAAAGTTTTCCCCTGCTCTTCCTCTTCTCTAGTTCCTCCCCAGGCACAGCCCATTTTCATTCATAGCTCTTCCAAGACTGGGCTGAGGACCACATTCTTTCTGATTCCTTGGCTGGACATGAATTACATCCAGCTTAGAGGCCACACCCAGCACTCAGCACTCAGAAATCCTACCTTCCGGGTATCCCCAGATTCTCTTCTCTCTTCCTCAAAATCATGGCAAGAAACGCTGAGGAGGGCTGGGGCTGAAGCTCGTGGGGCTGAAGCTCGGAGACAGAGTACTTGCCAAGCATGTGTGAGGCCCTGGGTTCAACCCCCAGCTTCAGGAGAGATGGTGGGTGGGTGACAGACAGACAGACAGACAGAATCCCCAATGAAGTAAGTGTGTTTTAGGATTAATGAGTCAGTCGCTGAGCCTCTCTTTGTAGCATCTGAATTCCCAGGATCCTCTAATTCTGGTATAAAAAGACTATGAGCCCATTGAAAGAAAATCCTGTCACCTGACTAAAGACAGAAGAGTAGAGGGGCTGTTCTGGGCCTCCTACAATCATAGTTTCTCTATTCTGCATGGAAACTTGTCCTGACCCATCAAGGAAGATCTGCTTAATAAAAAATAACCAAGTCAAAGACCAGGCCAGATGGAGAAGGAAAAGTATAATAAACAATGGGAAACACTGCTTAGGGTAAGAAGCGAACTGAGAGACCCTCTGGTAATTCAGTCCCAGGCCGGAAGAGGGCAGGGCGTGCAGTACCACCAGAACTGAGCTGCTGTGGAGTGGGCACAGTGCAGCACAGAAAGTCCCCACCGAGGGAGCCCAAGTCAAGTCTGAAGTGACTGACTGACCTTACATGTGGCCAGAGGGAGTGCAGAAAGTTAGCAACACTCTTAATTTTTTTTTTTTTTTTTTTTTGGTACTGGGGATTGAACTCAGAACCACAGGCAGCAGAACCACTGAGCTAAATCTTCAGCTCAGCAACACTCTATTCTTGCCACCAAAGGGTTGTTCCTGTCATAAGAGTATGTGCTGCCACGCATTGTGGGGCACACGGGAAATTCCAGCACTCAGGAGGCTGAAGCAGGAGGATTGCTACAAGCTTGAGGCCAGCCCGACTTGCATAGTGAGTTCAAGGCCTGAACTACATAGCAAGACCTTATCTGAAAAAAAACCTAAACAAATAAATACCAAAAGGATATGCCTTACAGGCATGTTTCCATGGACAAATAGCCTCATTATATTTTCAATGGTACTTGAAATCAAAAGTGTGATTGTCCCCCAATCTTTCTTGCATGAAGTGAGACAGCCTGGCCCATATGCATGCAAGCACCCTGAGGCTGCTGAGTTCCACAGGCCATGATTTCAGGGAGGCCGCCAGGGATAAGAACTGAGTAAGACTGTGACCAAAGTGCTGACGATCTAGGAGGCAGGTACTAGCAATGGAAAAACACATGGCTGTGGCATTACCTGCCCTAGAAACAGGAAGCAGGACATGGGAGAGGGTCCTGGGCAGAGGTGCCCATCGTTCAAGAGACGCACACCCTCAGAGCAGCACCTGGTGGGTAGCATGGGGAGAAGAGAGGATGAGACACCTGTTAGACACAAGGCTTCTCTCTAGCTGAGAGCAGAAACCCCATGGTTCCTTCCGAAGTCACAAGGCCATGCACGCCTAGAACAGAGAACAGATACTAGGGATATGGGCCCGACCAACACTGGGCCTGTCCAAGAGGAAGGCGGGGAGGAGGAGCTGTGCCAGGCTTGGAGGCCTTACAGCCTGCTCCCCATGAAAGCTGAGCCCTGAGGGCCCACCCCCGACCCTGACCTGGCAGTGTGGGTCCTGGGAATCTGTGTTCCCTACCTTACCATCCAAGTGACTTGGAGGAGCACGCTTTGAGGTTGGGGTCTAGTGAGTACAGAGTGGGGTGGTGAGGTTCTGGGGGAGGGGAGAGGGATGGTCAGCAGCAGGAGAGGAGCTTGTGGAGGACAGAAGGTCCACTTCTGTGCACTCAGGCCATTCTGTTTTCCTGCGACAGCCTAATCCTGCCCTACAAAGACATGATGAAGGCCATGTTTTTAGAGCACCTCTGATAGCTCAGCTCAGGACACCTTGCCTTTGGCTACTTTCTCCCCAGTTCAGAAGAGGAATGGATAAAATCACATCAGGGTGACTGGGCACCAGTCTCGGTGGGGTAGTGGGGCTTGAACCTCTGCCCCTCAGTGGTGGCTCCAGCCATGTGGGTTAAGTGCAAGCACTCTAATGTACAATACCAAATTCTCTTACTGGGCCTCTTTCTGGAGGCAAATGGCTAATTTGGAGACATGGATCAGAAGGTTGCTGTTCATACCTAAGACATGGTTTGCGCATGTAGCTCCAAAGGGTAATCATATCCAAAAGGGGATTATTACATTCATAAGGCAAAGAAAACTGCACAACAATGCTTGACACTCACCCGTGGGGCACAAGGAGCCTGGGCTCACGTGCCAGCCTGGAGGCCCACACGCACGGGTCTGCCATTCTTCGGGGGCTAGAACTTGGTTGTATGGACCAGTGCTGGAAACAAATGGTCAGTGAGAAGGGCTTCACTCAGTAATACTTGCCATATAGAATTTATCCCATCTTATTATTTTATTCTGATAAAAAGAGACATTTTTCATTTTAGCCCTCAATTCCCATGCATGAAATTACAGAAAGCTGCCACACAACAGTCCCCTCAGGGAGCAAAACAGCTTACCCTGGATTCGTTCCCTTCCAAGTCCCTCTTTCAGGTGGCCAGATCTAGAGTCTACAGGAGTTCCCCTCCCTCCACTCCGGGTCTCCTGAGGGCACATGCTGGGGAAGGCATGAGCTGACCCAGGGGCTACAATGACCGTGACCAGCAAGCGTCTCCCTCCCTCTCTGGAAGAGGGATCAGAAAAGCTTCAAAGCTGTGTTTCTTGGATTGCTCACTAATATCTTTTCTTCTCTAAAAATGCAGAGCGCAGCACTGACACAGGGAAAGCCACACTCTGTGCTTACGCAGTGCATACTGAGCTTCATCCTTTGCCCTTTTTTTTCACTTTGAGAAAGGGTCTTGCTAAGGTGTCAGATGCTAACTCAAATTTCTGGTCCTCCTGCCTTAGCTTCCCTTGGTGCTGGGAGTTCAGATGTGTATACCATGGTGTCTGACTCCTTCCTTCTTTTACTGAAGAAACTAAATATTCCTGTGAAGGGTAAATGGCTACACCTCTTTTCCTTGGCCAGATAATTATTTTTTAATTTAATTTTCTTAGCCATATAATTATTAACATCTATGATAGTTTGTTGAAGCACACAGCTCCAAAGTTCAATGACACCCCATAGGAATTAGTTCATTCATAAAAAGGAAAAAAGGCAGATTTAAAAAAAAAATAACAAAAAGGATGCATCTATTTTAAAAGGGCTTTTTGGTCTTCACTTAAAAACTTAACTCCTCCCGCAAGTGGTCAGGGTTTGATCCATGGTTCTTACTACGGGGTGGCTCTCGCTCTGCTACACATCCCTTGGCTGGGCTTTTGCACAGCAGTGCACTCTGTCCAAGAACTTCCCCCACTGGTCCAGTGCCAAGGACCCCTGAAATCATGTCCTTTTGTCAGCGAGTCTGGACACACCCAACTGAGTCTTCAGAAAGTGGATGAGCTTGGTCTCGGTGAGGAATGCTGTCCCCAGAGTCACTCCTAAGCAGAAGGCCCCCACAGCAACATGTGCCAGCCTGGCAGGCCAGCCTTGGTCACAGCAGAGGAACACCTGGGAAAGAAACTACTGTCACTGCTCGCCTCCTCGCTGCGCACCCCTTTCCTCTGGGACAGGCCAGGGAAGGGGGCTGCTGTTCCAGCTTCTAAGTCAGAATAAAAGCCAACTGGTCAGCTCTGTTCCCCCTGGCAATAGCCTTTGCCACATCTATCCTCTGTCTGCTGCAGAGGCCTAGAGGGATAAGAGCAGGCAAAGAGTTACCCAGCCAGCTCAGACAGTCTAGGGAAGGGAAACCCAGAGGGGGGACAATGGAAAGCTGTGGAATCGTAGTGTGAAGGCTGCAGTCTCACCTCTGAAGTACCAGTAATCCCACCAGCAAGGGCAAGTACCCCCAGAAGGGTGGGCGACAGGCGCAGGCCCACCAGAGGCCTGTGTGGGCTCCCTCGGTAGTAGCAGTGAATGAAGCAAAGGCTCTGTGTGATCCGAATGCCCATGTTAAAGCAATTGGCCAAGATGAAGCCCACACTGCCACACCAACGGGTCAGGAGATAGGACAACACCAGGAATGAAGATGACAGTGCCAGCATTGTAAAATTGTACCTGGAGAGGAGACAAGCAAAGCAGGGCTGTGAGTACTTTGTCCCATGATGAGCTGCTACAAAAAAGTGACCATGAACATAAGCTCACAGAAAGAACCTCTGAGTTCCCATAAATCCAACTGAGTTCATATAACCCAAGTTTTTAAATAATGAATGCTAGATGGATAATGTGGAAATAGCATCACCTTCATCCTTGAACAGAAGAGTAAGAAAATGAACTCAAAGTATTTATGTTCTTCAAGGATAATAGCTGATTATTTAAGTGACACTTTATAATCAAAACACAAAAATCCTGTTTAGTCTACGTACTCCAACATGAGGCCAAGACTGTGACCTGGGTAATAATTATATACCAGATGATAATGATATAGGAGGTAGCGTGTGGCAAACCTGGCTGGGGAAAATAAGCAGGACCTGTCAATTATGGGTCCCAGGACAGCACCGAATAACTCCCAAGACCCCGTCTGTAGAACTTCTTGTGGGTTCCCATGAGACGTGGACCGCATACGGACACAGACCCACAAGCAGTCTACTGTCACTCCTCATAACGGCCGGTGCTGTGTCTCCCAAACAAAGGGTGTACTTTCATTTTTGCTCTTTTTGTCCCTTTTTCTCTTGTTTGGCCGAAGTTTGCTCTGCAGAGCAGTACTTCCCTTACTCCATCACCCCTCATTTTTCAAATAAACTTTGGTACCATTTTCACGTGTCTCGGCCAATTCTTCGTTCAAGGCAAGAAGAACCTGGAATACGTTTAACTGGCATGCCATTTCCAAACGGGTGACACTGACTCTGACAGGCCCTGTGAGCATCGCCGAGGACACACCAGTAAACGAGCACAGGTGGCCCGTGTCTTCTGAAGCTTGAACTTGTTTAACAGACAAGAAATCAACAGGGAGGGTGAGAAACTTGCCTAAGCAGTGACTCAACACTCTGACCCAACTCCTGGCCCCTAAGCCACAGGGCCTTGTACAGCTTCCCTTGAGAAATATAGCACCCTGCAGTCTTGGGCAATGCACCTCACTCAAATGAGTGACCAACATCCAAAATGAAATGTGAACAGAGAGCAAAGCCTGGATCCCCTCTCTTCCAGACTCTTACACACCCTTCTCCTCTTTATATGTCTAGGGTTCTTTGGATTCTGGAGCTGAATGACTGACTATACTACTCCTTTCACTTCTGATTTCAAAGCAGTGTATCACTTCAGTTTTCTGCAAACAAAGGAACCCGGTGTCAGTCAACTTAAAATAACTGGCACAGTCCTCCAAGAGGCTATGGTATAGTCATAAGCCAAATTCCCCAGTATGTGGTTGGGCCCTAACTCAAAGCAGACACTTTAAATATACACTTACCAAGGGAACCAAACCTCTTTGGCCTCCAAACTGTCCACTGGGTTAAGCCACCACACAGGTTCTACAGATGAAGGGTGGCAAGAAAGCTACTGCATCCCAGGACGGCCTACTGTAGGTGTGGGGGCTGAACAATCCTAAGGTGCTATAGAAATGTGCTTCATCGGAGTGCATGAAAAGATCCTGCACCTTGTATCTATAACCAGTTACTGTATATATCATGGTAAGTACAAAATCTCTAACAGGGAAGGCATGATTTCATCGGGAGGAAATTTTACATGCTTCTAAGTACAGAATCTCTTTTTATGAGCAATAGAAGTACAAGAGCCTGCAGTTTCATAATGTAAGATTTTTCATTATTAATCAATAATCAGATGGCCACTTCACAACAAGCCAGTAAAGGTGGGATCCACCAGAGAACAACAGTCTGATCTCTTTTTCAAAAGAGATACAAGAGTGCCGGGTGTGGTGATATACACCTGTAATCCCAGCACTCGGGAACCTGAGGCAGGAGGATCACTGTGAGTTCGAGACCAGTCTGGGCTACACAGTGAGTTCCAGGTCAGCCTCACTACATAGTGAGACCCTGTCTCAAAAAA